ATATTTCACAAGATTAAAAAATTTGAATTTTTTGAAACTAGTGCTACATACTATTTGGTAAGTTTCTGCTATGTTTCATACAATTTTTATTGTGAGAAGGAAAACATCTAGAGATATCAGAAATACCCACCTAGTCTGGAAAGTTTAATTCTACAGTAAATTAATTAATTACTATTATGTGGGTAAAGTTCAAAATAATGGCAATTGTTGAGGTGTTCTAATAAAGTTGTAAACTACTGTATCTTTTGAGACCCTACCCAGAAGTAAACAATTTCCAGTTTATGTATGCACACACACATACACTGTTTTATTGCTATATTTCCTACTTTAAAAGGAGCAAAATGGAACTGTTTCTTAAAGTGTGTTAAAAAACAAGTTTTGATGTATGTACTGAGCTAACTATTATAATTTATTATAAAAATTTATAAGTGTAAGACAAATATTTGCAAAATCACCAGTACTAATTTGTTACTTCACGTTTAAAATCATGCAGGAATGTTAAAGAAAAGATGTTTTAAATAAAGTGGAGGAGACAGCCATAAAAAAGTGAAATTATATATATTTTGTTTCTTCTATTACATACCATGAAAGTATAAAAACTGGATGATCTTTGCAATTATATTTAATAACATACAAGTAATAAGGGACCATCTGGTTTTTCAAGGCTGTTCATGCACATCATTTCTGAGACATTTATCAATTAGCCTATTAAACTCTTGTAAGGTACCAGTTTCCACTAGTACCAATGTCAACTCATTCCATAAGCTAATCACCATGTTAATAAAATAAAACTGTCTTACATCGAACTTAGCTTGTCTTTTCCAAATCTTAAACTTTTATCCTTTCATTTTATTGTCTTTAGTATTCAGCAAACAGAAACCAAAAGCCTTTATACCATAAATCCCCAGATAACATTGTAAACTTCAGTACGATTAATCCTTATTTTCTCTTGATAAAAGGGTAAGCAACCTAAACATAACCCAATAAATAACCCTTCTATCCCTGGAATCAACCTAGTATTCCTCCTTTTAACAGTTTACAATTCTTTCTTATACAAGGAGACCAAAACTAGAACCAATATTCTATGTGAGACTAACATAGTGATTTGAAAAACATAAGCCTCTATTAGCTTTATTACTGGTAAAAAGAGCTCTGCCTTGAATGGCTTATCTACCACTGTGCCAAGTTCCTTTTCTTCAATCACACTATTGAGTAGGTATTAAATTATATTAAATATCCAAATTATAACTCAAATGCACCTTACACTTTTTATAATTAGAGGTCATTTGTAAACTGATCAAACACCCTAAGATACACTACTAGTAGGGATTCTCAGAGAATTATATTACTTGGCCATGGAAGTGCCAGAGTACAAAGGCACAGTTACGAATATATAAATCTCCCATAATCAATATAATAAATTATTCTATACCAAGAAGCAAATTAAAAACATCTACAGTACTATTACATGCTGAGTTAGCACTGTTTATGTCAAGGCAACCACATTCCTAGTAACCGGCTATTAGAAGATCGCCACCATCGCTAAACATTCTTCCACTTTTTAGCAGCAACCAATGGGCAAATGTTCGCAGCAAAAACTGGGAATTGGCAAGTGGGTGCTTCGCCAATATAAGTCAGTGATATATCAAACAATAGCTCTTTATTACTCTGATTGTTGTTTTTTGTATCCAGAAGCATTTTCAATTTGATAACACACAAACAAAACTTTAAAACCATTAATAAATATCTGTCATTTAGTTTAAAAAAAAAAGAAAGCCATATAATAAACTTTGTGGTTCTTAGTTGATAATTCATAAGTTGAGATATATATATATATATATATATGTCTACACAATTTTAGCCAACAGCGTGTCAAAAAAAAAGATTAATTGGAATACGTTGCCTTGACAACAGTTGGCTTTATGTCATAACAGGGATATATCTGTCAATCACGAAACTAACTGAATACAAAATCTGTCATTTACTCTAATAGTTAAATATGTAAATTTATACTTGATTTTTAGCATGTGGTTGTTGACAGTCTCCATTTCATTTATCACTATAATATAAACTTACAAATATAGGTTTTAAATTGAAGTACTTGATTAGGGTTAAATTTTATCTTGCCTTGTCACAAGTTTCATGCAATGTTTTACCAAGTAAAACAATTCTATTTGCATTGTTTCAATTAGATGTTCACATACCATGAAAGGTATTTTTACAAGTACTATTATGAACTGTTTTTTATTAATTATTAAATAAATAGTTAAAATAGCACTATAAATCTACTAACTTTTTTACTGTGGAATTCAAGAGTGTGTAATGTTTTTTTGTTATTTTTACTATTTAAAATTCAATAAAACCCCCTACTGCTAATAACAAAGTCTAGTTTGACTAGACTTCATTGCTAACAACATTTTACTTTCTCTCATCCAACCACCCTTTAATAAAATGAATTAGTCTTTCCCAACCCCACAATGTGTTTTTCTTAGATAATCTTCTTTGTAGTACCTAATATCAAAAGCCAATCCAACACTGAGATAATCAGTAACATCATAAAAAAGTTAATAGATTAGTATATTCTTCATTAAAAATCAATAACATTCAAATAATAATATTGTAAAAAAGCCTCTCCATCACCAAGATAACCAGTAACATAATAAAAAAGTTAACAGATTAGTATAATCTTCATTAAAACAGATAAGAGTCAAATAATTATAATAATACTGTTTGCCCTGAAAAAGAAAGGTCCACCTTTCGATAGCACTTGGGTTATAGGGTTTTTATTCATTTGTACTAATACTGTGAATATACTGTAACTGTAAGAGTCACACCCACAGTGTAGATTTTAATATCTGTGTATTTTCTGTTATTATTATTCTTAAATTAGGTAATATTTTTAGAAAAAGAAGTTGAACTGCATACATCATTACAATTACAGGCTCAGGAAGATATGCTATCTACAGCCTAGGTACATATTACAATTCTTTAATTTAACATCACGGTCATAACATAAACCATGGTCCTTATTACTATTGTTAACATAGGCCTAACGTTTCTCATTACAACATAATATCTAAATTTGTGAGAAATATAACATTTTAACATATTCACAGTATTATTTGGAAATATGAAATTTCAACATATAAAATCAAATTCAAATACAGATATTGGAAATAGGCGACAGATAATTCAGATGATACTAAGTGGAAATTAAAATAAAATATTGCATGTTGTTTTACTTACAATCTAAGTGTTTTTTCTTCGGACCAATAATTTCTTCGGTCGTTGCCTTACAAACTGTCCGGGCAAGTCCTTGACCCGTTATTGTATGTTTTGCCGCTGTCAGTCTATCGTTTAATGTTTGTCCCCCTGACATAATTTATTTTTACCAGTAATATATGTTTAAGTTAAATCAGATATCCCAGACTAACGAGCTGGCAGAAGTCCGGTGAAACCAGAGTCTCACCGTCCAGTTTCAACTACTCTTTATGCTAATACAAATAAGATGACTCACAAGTCCACCTTCAACTTTATTAACTACATCCACACCTCTTCCTTTAATATCGGAAGCCAATTACCAAGATGGCGTGTACGAGCATTCAACAGACGTAACGTTAAGCCTATCAACCAATCAGGGAAGTATTTTTTTTATATAAGTGTTTGCCACCAGGTGGAAAACTCCAACTTACTATATATTAGTAGGTATTTCAATATTTAATTACTATAACACTTTTCATACTAGAAGTTTGGGGCTATTTTTAGATAATTGTTTGAATTTTAAATATAACTTAGGCCAGTTCTATGAACATTCTGCATTTGAGCTCAAATATGTACTTTACGCATAAGCAAGTATTTGTTTAGGTGTTTAGGACGATCTCGAATATATGACGACCCCCATTTTCAGAAACCATGGGAAAGAAAAAAATGAGTGACATGACGTCCTTTTTTTTTAGGTCGGCAAAAGCAATACTATAACTGAACAGCCTGCAGGTGGATTAGTTGCAAGAATTAGCTATGATCTTAAGCAAACATCTGGCGCGCATGCATAGACGGATGTTATCTGGACATTCACGAATGCGACAAGCTAGAGTAGAGGGAAGGGACCTGTGGTCGGCTGCGATTATAAGGCGACTATGAATTTTACAGCCTAATTATTCATAAAAAACATTGCCTTATAATCGGTCAATAAGGTATATGTGTGTGTGTGTGTATAATATTTAAATAGTTACTCATCTCTAATTGACTTGGTACTAAAGAAACGGAATTATAAACATAAAATGAAACTAAATCAGATTACTACAGCATGTATACTACAGTTTTATCTTTTAAAGTTTGTATTTAACTCCTAGAATGGACAAAAACCCATATGAACATTACAACAGAACCTAAAATGTCAAGGTTAAAAATTACTCCAAATAAACAAATGGAAATTTTAATTTCGTCTCTAAGTTTTAAAAAGGAATAATAAACTCAGTCAGCCATACCTGTGTGGTACATATATACATACCAAGCGTTTCTATTTTCTCATGATATTATAGACATAATTTGTTCTGTATATATATTTGTAGGTTTCATATAACACGTCATTGATAAAGTCGTTCAGCTCACCTCGTTCTGCTACCTTTGTTCCTAGGTTAGTCTCTCGAGATAATACCTGTTCTGCCATTGGATGATAGTGTTGTGATGCTGCACGTTTTATGAAGATGTTGATAGCAATGTCCTTCATTGGTAAAGCATGTGTATCTTTCAGGTTATGGACTCACCTATGTTTGAAAGAGAATGATAAGTCATGTGAGTAGTCTTGTCGCTCTGGGTAAAAGCAACATTTCTTGAAAAGTAAGGAACATTGTATTTGATCAGGCGTGGAGAAATCTTCTGGTACAGTATGCAGTCTGCGAGAAGATATAGAGAATACACAAGAAGCGACCACCCATCGTTCTCATTAAAGAACTTAAGTAAGTACAAATAATGTTTTGTCTTAATTCAATTTTAATAAAGATTGTTCGTTTTGTACTTTGGTTTATTTCTGTCTTTCTATTTCATTCTTTTTCAGACTCAGTTGTTCATAGATTCTGTACTATTCTGAGATAAATGTATTGTCAAATCTCCTGTAAAACAGACAATCAAATTGTTCGAAAGTTAACTTAGATTGACCTAAGGAAACCACAAAATGAATAGAAAGGAGAGAATTTGGGTGCTGTAACCACAGGATGTCTCATTACAAAGTTTACTGTTTTCTTTTGAAGTTTGTATTGTCATTTACTTCTACTCTTGTGTTATATAAGTTTAAAAAGGCTTCATAGTCAGGAAAACATAGTTTTCCACAACTAGAAAGATCTGCAACCAAGAGAAAGAATCAATCACTGAAGAGAGATGGTTGTCTAAGATAATTTTTGTGTGTTGTACTTTTACCGATGCTACAAAGGTTCTTGATTTCTATCTCATCAGAACCAAAAAACACAGGAAAAAAAGCCGTCAATATTTAGTGCACCCAGAATGTCCGCCTCATGCCGTTCCATTAAGAATCAATCTCAGTGTAAGGGAAGCTTGAACAACTGAGGATCACAATGATGGGGTGGATTCTATTTTTGAGACTTGGTAAAGAAGTCTATATAGAATTCCTAGACAGGATACCCCAACCCCAGCTCTTGTTGAAACTACCCAAGAACATTAAGAAAAGACTGGAGGTGCCATTGGTAGATCACATACACCAACAGAAGCCAACTCATTCGCGGGTGAGAAAGCAGGCACCAAATGGCGAAGAAAGTGGACCATGTAACTGTGATGAGTCTCACTGAAATGTACTGCTGAGGCAACCATATATCACAGGGGTGTCTGGAATAGTGCAGAGCCAATGGCAACTCACTGCTCTGTTATCCTAGACCAGGAATCACAACTTGGATGAGAGTCATAGTCCCTGAAAGTATCCACAATGCTGTGATTGCCTGCAACGTCAATGACATTTGGGTCAAGTGATAACTGGGAAGCCATATGGAAGAGATTCTAGCCACAATCATGGTTTCCATGAGTGAGTCAAAGCAGATCATCCCCCTCATCTGTGATTGAAGGATATAGGAAAGGATGACTTAGACCGTTTCTTGGAGTGTTTCAGAGAGACAACTAGTTGAATTCGCCAGATTCCAGAGCAAGGTGTGCGACACCTAGTACTGATTCTAGATTGTGTGGCCCTAGATTCTCGAGCAATTTAATGATAAAGAACTGTGAGATTATGAGACAATTATAAATGAGTTACTAGAGATTTGATCCAGTGGAAAACAGAATAATCCATCAGCTTGAGTTCAAGACTCGGAATAAAAGGGTCCCATGGAAAGCTTTACTGGTTATATGTATGATCTGCACTAAAGCTTATCCTGCAATTGCCTCAGCAGATTGTGAAGATATTCTCACAAACAAGCTCATGGAAGGGCTACTCATTGAAACAATGCAGCACTACCTGGGTGTAAGAACCTTCTCAACTTTATTGGTGCAGTTAAAGTTAATATGACGTCATATCAAGTGGTAACTTTGATTTGGTTGGAAGAGAGGAAGAAGCCTGTAGCAGTAGCTGTTGTCTCTTCATCTTGGACAGCCCATCCTACTTAGGTGCCCATGTCACACCAGCTTCAAGCCCAGCCAAAGATTAAATAACCACCCACACATTCTGGCATTGTGGGATAATCACAATGACGTCTAGTGAATTGGCAAGGATATCCTGGGTCTCTTGTGATTTATCTTGCTGCAACTTATGTCATCGATTCTTCTGCCCAGATGTTATCCTGAAATGAAAGAGTAAATACAATAAACAACTTGCAAAGTATGGTTGTCAGCTCAGCTATTTCAGGGCTAGGTGGGCTTTATATGTACCTTTTGAAATACAAAGGTGAGGGATATAGTTACTGGTTGATGTAGGAGTGGCCAAAACACTAGAATATGTCACAGTATATAAGGTCCTCCAAGCAAAACCACCACTCTGACTAGGAAACATGAATTGCCTTTTGCCAAATAGAGATCATCAATATATGAATAGAGAAGCAGTGGCAGCAACTCAGTGACTTGTTGATGGAATGTGGCAATGCATTCGTGGAAACCTGGTTGACTGGGTTGAACAACATCACATAGATATAAGTGATACAAGTAAATTAAACGACTGCATTGCAGCCTTCCTTGGAATGTAGCCAGTACTGAAGTACAATAAATGTTAAATAGTCGGATTAAACAGACTTCAGAGTCTAGATCTAAGATTAATTTCAGCACAAGAGATGGCTTGTACGAGTTTCTCATCAAGCTGTTTGGCCTTGTAATTTTGTCCATGACTTTGAAAAGGCTAATGGAGCTTAACCTGAAGGGGTTACAATGAGAGAAGTGCCTATCTATGTTGATTACGTTAAGTCTGTGTCTGAGAATCTGAAAATGACATTCCAGTAGATAAAAAAGCAGGCTTAAAACTGAAACCAAGAAAATATGCAATCATTAACACAGAAGTGGAATTTCTCAGTTATGTTGTGGTTAGAGAAGGGATCTCCAAGGATCATGCTAAAATAGTAGTCATGTGAGATTGGTCTCAACTTGTGACCAAACGAGAAATCTGTAGTTTCCCCAGTTTCATCTCATATTATCATACATTTATAGCCAACTCCCCCAATATAGGCTCACATTATTAGTTCTCACTGAAGTGGAGATGCAGTTGAGATGGAATGAGGAATGCAAGCAATCACTTCAGTCTCTGGAGTGTGCTTTAGTAGAGGCTCTGGTGTTTGCATATCCAGAACAAGACTGTGAGTCCCTGTTAGACACTGATACCAATAATAGTGGAATAACGGCAGTGTTATCACAGTTGCATGATGAGGTAGAACATGTAATTACATAGCTCCTGAACACAGATACCATATGATGAAGAAAGAACTGCTTGCAATTATGATCTTCATAAAATCTTTTAGCACTATTTTTATGGTAGAAAGTTTACAGTTCAAGTGGACCACGCATCACTGAAATGGTTGATGAACTTAAAAACCCAAAAGGATGAAGTATGCTAGACAACAGCACTTTAAAAAATATGAATTACTTATACATTATCACCCAGGCCCGCAACATATCAATAGATTGTAACACCAAATGGGGAGACCATTTTCTTTTGTTCATTGTCCTGATCCTGGACACCATGTCAGAGTTGATGCCATTTCTACCATAGCAACAACAAACAATATAGTAGAAGATTCCACTAATAGATGGATGCCACAATTAACACTTTAGGAGCTCTTAGAAAAGCAACTGAATAACATAGAACTAACATGCATGTACCTTGTCGTGCTGACCAGCTCAAATTAATAAATATAAATTGATGCATGTAACCTATAGCACTTCTATGAGCAATTATGAGTGCAAAAGGGGGTGCTGTACTGCTATTATCAATCATTTCAAAGTGGTTCTCAGTCTATAATAGAGGTAATGGACCACAGAGCTATCAGACACTAGATTCTACAGAATATGCATAACAAATACAGTGGAGGTCACCAAGGTCTTTCATGAACTTGTGCTAACATTGAATGTTGGCTCTGTCTTATGGCCAGTTCGAGTCTAAATGCTCAGCACTGG